GGTGTATGATGAGTGGTGTATGATGAGTGGTGTATGATGAGTGGTGTTTGATGAGGGGTGTATGATGAGTGGTGGTTGAACAGCTGTTGAATGTCCGTAACACGGAAGTTTTGCACACTAAACTTCCTTTGACTACTACTACTACTACTACTACTACTACTACTACTACTACCCTACTATTACTGCTCGGGCCCTGGAAGTTGTCAGGTGACATGATCTGAGTTGTATTATTAGTTGGGCACAGGTCTCTTGATGAAAGCATTCGCTTCGGACAAAACAGTAAGACTTGGCGCTCAAGGACTTGTGCTATGGGCTGAAATACACAACGATGGTGATGTCAACGTGGTTGTTTTGAAATGTCATGGTGAAGATCACTCGAAGTAAAGTAATTGAAGAACACTTACGGGCATTTCTCAATTATTTCCCCTGAAACATGTGGAGTTTTACAGGTTTGCTGTGTTTTTTGTCAATTGACGATGTTGAAATACGCACGCAACTACACGTTCAATTCCCGACCCGGCGGGATGTTTATGTCAAGAAAAATCCGTGCACAAATGCTCACTCATCAAAGTGCTGGCAAGGTCTCTTAGAGATCTGACAATAGCGTAGTCGACATTAACCGAAATGAGTATATACATACTATTTCTGTACGTTTTTCCCCTTTTCATGTCTTTTTGCATGCGAGGTACTCGTTGCAGCACAGGCAGCTAAAAGCAAGGCCTTGGCCTGCTTGAAATCCTTTGCGGCCAGAGTAATTTCGGAGGTCCTGCGAAGGTTTTGGTCCTATGGACTGTAACATGCGAACCTTCCAAAACCCTAGATCCGGCCGCCTTCGACAGAATTCACAAGAGGGGGACGCGCTGAGGGGGTCTTGCAAAGGGAGGCTCGAAGTTGAAGGAAATGTTGCGACGGGGGGTCTCTGGAAGGGCTTTCCGTCAGCTTCTCGCAGCTTCGCAGCTCTAGTTGTATTTTGTTGAATGCGCAATGAGAATTCTGCGCATTCGTCAACACAGTCCTCGCTTTAAGCGCGAATGATCAGAAACTCAACACGCCTGAAATGCCTACGTGGACCTTCCGAACTCCCTGTTCGTCTTGGTGAAAACAAAGGCATCGATTTGAGAGGCTAAACAATACGAAGACCCGAATAAGTTTAGGGAGTTGGACTTTCATTGCATGTCCTGGAATCCAATCCACCAAATAGAGAATGGATATGAGATGCCTGCAGCTCCAGTTCGGCAATTTCGGGATTCCAAACCTTGGTGCCAGGTCTGTAAGGGCTGGAAAATGAGCACAGGCATAACACTGTCATAGTGTGCCTTCCAAGCAAAAAATGCCAAGAATTTGAGAAGGCAACAAACTCATTGTCCTGCTCATCATCTTGGCCATCTAGTGTCCTCAGTTTGCAAGCACCTGTCTTGTTACAATGTTCTCAGTAGCTAAGGAAGTGGCCAAAGCCGAGCAAAACGAGTATCATCTCCATCAGACATGGCGTATCATCGGTTGAGCGTGTTTTTTCAACTGGCTAAATGTGTGTTTTCAAAGGCTGAAGAGCTGTCCATTTGAGTTCAAAGCAGACAAACTTTGCCAAGGTTGTTTCAAAGTGAGATGAAGACAAGAGTGCTGAATGATGCTACCCTGAGCCATCCCTCAAGTCCAATATATAACAATGCATGGTTCACTCTCGGAACTGACTCTTGCTCGTGCCTTGTTGGCACAATTCTTGTCGGTTGACCAATGAACCTGCTGCAAAGCAATAAGAAATGCATTCCTATCAAGTACTGATAGCCAGGAGGTCCAGTCAATCTTGCCTGCATCTGCTTGACACACCGGGCCAGGCCAGGCCTGGAAGACCACAGTGGCCGTCCAGTCCGAGCAATTCACTGTGTGTGTGTGAAACCCTTGGAGTCGGAGGGTTTCCTTTGAAGTTGTTTGCAATTTGTGCTGGCTTTCCATTTTCTGATAGATGCAGGCGGCAGGAGCACCATTGCTGCCAAGGAAGACACTTGCAATTGGTGGTGAAACCAGACCTGATCAGTCTGGCGTACCTGCTTTGAACACATTGACTCCAATGGTCCTCCATCGCTTAGGCTGTTTCCAGGTTTATCAGGTAACGTAATGCGCTAATGAGTTCGGCAGACCTGCACGTACCGTCGTCATTCTGTCGCGGAGAGCCGCTGTTCGCGCACTTCAAGACTGTTGGAGCTTTGAAGGTTTTTTCTTGTTCAGACTTACTCTTGGTACTCTTAGGCGTTCATACCTAGGTGGGCGTGTGGCAAGTGGCTTTCAACTTCCGTACGCATTTCCTAAGTGTGTGCGTGTGTGTGTGTGTGTGTCCACACCTGTTTCCAAGGAAGATGCATGGAAGAATTAACCAATCCAGAATTCAAGCACGATAGATGCAGGGGGGCAGAGAGGACGTGCAAGGCTCTGCCCAACGAAGATCTTTGCACTAGTCCTAGGAAGCGAGAGATGATCACTCCTGTGTACCTGCAAATTTAACATTCCTGACTCTTTGATTATGTAAACCATATTCTTTCTGATTCTGCCACCTTTCCGTTCCCTCACAGGGCTGTTTCTCAGGTTTCAGGCAGCGCTTTAAACCGGTTATTGTATTCACTAGAGTGGATTGCCTTATACAACTGATTTAGCTCTTGCGAGCATCAATCTAAGATCCCCCTTGGAATTACCGGTAGGTCTGGGGAGCGCGATTTTATAGCCATAAATCGCCTGCCCCAACATCCAGCAAGCAATCTCTCCACTATAAAATGAAGACTCGACATGAATCAGTAAATCTCTATAAAATCAAGTCTCAACATCTAAGGCGCCTGAAAGCAGAAGGAAGACGAAAAATATGATCTAGGTTTGAGGTAGTTTTACCTTTATTTTGCCCAGGTCGGAATTGATTTTATAGTGAGTTGTTTGGGTTCAACTGGGCTGAGACTTGAATTTGTAGGGATTTGGTTTGCAAAATCTGACAGCATCAGCGATGAGCAGGTTTTTTCCCCTGTGCGTTCGTCTGATTGTTCTGATGTCCAAAGCAATCCGCTTGTGTTGTTAACTTCAGTCTTTTTTCCAAAAGGAATCTGAACATTTCTGACCCATTTCTTGCTAATTTTGTTTGAATATAATGAAACCTTCTCGGATTTGTTGAAAGCATCTTTTCGACCATTGAAAGCATCTTGCGGGCAGGCCGGGCGTATAAACTCAAAAAACAAACATATTCTGCTGACTTCCAACATCTGCCACAATAAAATGAAGTCTCAGCTTTCTTGTCCACAACTCTCTTCATATAAGATCAAGAACCAACTTCTAATTAATCATTGTAAGGCTTGGTCTGCTATAAAATCGGGGCTCATACCACCTCACTCCTATAAAATCAAATGTCAAAACATCCAGACCTCTATCTATGTGCGGCCCACATAATTCTGGCCACAAGCTACCAGGTCGACACATCATTTTATAGCAAGCCCTCCCTATAAAATGACATGGGGTTTTGGTACTCGAGTACGTCCATTTTATAGGCTTTATTCCATCGGGGATAATCTAAGTGTGTTGTGGAGGAAGAAGGAAATGTTCTCTGACTGATATCTGACTACGCCTTACTAGGCTCGATAAGCTTGAAGGAAGATCTGCATCAAAAAAAATCAACAGGAAGGGCTATCTATAGTAGCTTTGGTGGCGTGTGTCTGGTAGTTGGCCCACCGCCTGCAACAGCCTGTGGTGTCTTGTGCCTTTTTGTGACATCTGTGTGTTGACGCCGATGTTCTTGTAGAAAGGCGTTTGGTTTTTGTCGGTTTTATATAGGAAGTCATAGGGTTTCGTCCACCACGGCAGTTTGGGGGCACAACTGTTTGTTTCACAGGTTGTCACCGACACTATATATTATAACTAGTAGTCCTCCTTGGTGGTCCTGTGTTGGAAATGCTTGGAACATGATGCCACATGCACAGACGCTTTGGAAGATGAAAAAGGAGCAGCTGTTTTTCGTAGTTGCTTGATGACATAACTCTGAAAGTCTGAAACGTAGTGGCCCGCAACTTGACTTCAATTTTGAAGTGTGAATTCTACTGGGAAGTGCTGCGCATGACAAAGTTCAACCACTGGAATTACGCTCTTCAAAACTTGCAAATATTGAACAATTACGTGCATACAATTTGCAAATGAGAAAGATCATTTCATACCACGGCCCGATATGAGCGGTGGGCCCAGTTTCCACTGCTCCTCCTCCCCAGTCTTTCTTGCTAAACACTGAAGGATCGTGTTTGAACAGCTTTGTTTCTTTTGGAACTGGGGTAGTTGGCTGTGCTGGCTTGTATTGCTATTCTCTGCCTCCATTCGCCTGGCACGTCACCATTTGTTCAAACTTGTTGGTACACAAGAATGTCACATTGACAAAAAGTGCATTCACAAGAATATTGTAAGTCTTTGTATGTCTTTGTGCTCCTTTACATGCCGTTCTTGTTGAAGGCTAGGAGTTAGTAGCAGTTAGCAGGTCTTGGTGGTGATTGGGCCATGTGGTCGCACTTGTAGATAGCAGAGGCAGCAAATGGCTTGTCTTCAAACTGTTCAATCGCTTGGCCTTTGTTTGGCCAAATACTTCATCCTGCAACTTCAACAGCATTGAGCCAAGACAGTGCGCAACACCGCAACAGAACCTAGCCCAGACCTTGCAAGAGCAAACGTGGAGGTAAGAAGCGAAACGAACTAAAGAAACAGGGAAAGAAAAATCATTAGATGCAGGCGGTGATGGATTGATTCCAAACGGTTGGGCACACTGGCGAGCCAGAAACCTGAGCACCTTTTGCGGGCAGCACAAGTCTGTTCCAAGGTGGCTTGCTAAAGCAACTGGACAATGCACTTCACCAGGACTGTCATGGGGCCCAAGAACATTATATAGGTAACAATTACAAGAAAGATGTCAAGGGCTCAAATATTGCAAAACATGCTGCCCAAAAAACAAACAACCGAAAAGCAACGATCCAACGATCCAAAGATCTACGCTGCATCTCAAATGCGTAACTGGCATCGATACTAGGAGCAAGGACGCTACTAGTAGCTCCTGGCATTGCTACTAGTAACAAGGGCATCGCTATTAGTAGCTAATTTGCTACTACTAACAAGAAGCTACTAGGTTGGAGGCCATCGCTAGTAGGTTGGAGGCCATTACTACCAGTAGCAAGAAGCTACTAGTACGTTGCATCTCAAATGCCTTTCCAAATGAAGTCTCTTGTGTGTCCGAAGCCTTCCAGGTGCGAAGCCCATAGGCTCAAGGACATTGGCCAGGCACTCAGCAACCATGGTCCTCGCTCGAATCAGTTTTTGCTTATGCAATGAAAACTAGAAACTTTTGGAGTGATACTGGCTGATTTTTGGGGAACATGTAGGTGGATTGAGAACAGTGATGTGCACAGCCCTTCAAGTGCAAGCGTTGTCATCTCAGCGTGACTGTGCTGGGTGGCATGGGTGTGCAAAATTCAAGCCAGTGATCATATATAGTGCCGCTGCTGAGTGGCCATTGGGCTTAGGTTTCAAGTCTCAAAGTTACGGGAAATGTTACCATCCTTTGCACTAGTTTGCATCCGCACGTGTCCATATTTCGGATTCACAAAGTCTCGAAGCAAAGGAAAAAGCGAAGCGAAGCTGCCGACTATCGACCCCTGAGTCCGCACCTTGTTTCTTTCAAACGAAGCGGGAAGGATAGGTCTCGACGGTCCCAAAGGGCCTTTCTCTTGGACCTTGCGAAATCGGGATGTTTTATCTCTCTCGTTTCAATCATTTTTTGGCCGGGAGGGTGTAGGCTTCAAAGGGAGGTAGTAGCTAGCTAGAGGTAGCTAGTACCTACAAGTAAGATCAAGTACTGTAAGCTACTACCTTGGACGCACCCCTCGCACTATTCATTGGTTCCTAGATTTTTTGGGAAACTTCTCCAGTAAGGCTGAGTTCCGGTCTGAAACTCTGGGCCGGAGAACACCTGCAGCTTGTAAGCGGCAGGCTGACCCTTCGCGTACGCATGAGTTTCTTTTACGTGAACATTGAAAGTTTAGCTCAAAACCCGCTATGAGGTCTACACTGTCTATATACTGTACATCGCATGTATCTAAACACGACAGACTAAACAAATAGTCATCCTTGCAGACTCCGCCTCCTCCCACTTCTTCATGAGCTCAAAGCAATCTGTTGCATTTGATATCACTCCGGTGCCTGGATTCTCGCTAAGCAAGAATGCTGAGTAGAACTATGATAGAACCATCTCACTTCGTTTTGCTCGCACTAATTAGATTCCTTTCTCGTCTTGCAATTCAGACTTTAAGGCATGAACCGCCAAAAGGCTCTTCAGGAATATATCTCTTGATGACAGCTGCTCGAGTTTCCTCATCCAGCCCATCCAAGTACCTCCGAACGGCCAACGCGATTGTCAGAAGAATGCACTGTTTCATCGCTGTCGACTGCTCAAAGAAAAGACTTGCGAGTCAACCAAATCAGTTGATGATTACGCTCCGTCCTCCCGGCCTGTCTGATGGCATGTGGATTGGCATGGGGAGCTCGGTCGCGGCATCCGCCTCACTTCTCAAGTCCGAGTTCACATGCCAAAGCCACAGGTGAAAAGGAAACCACAGCCACTGAAGTGGCCCACCTCTGAGAAGTGGCTTGCGATCTCAGAAACCCATCTGTCCACCTCAATCGGAATCCCAAAACGGTTTGCTCTTGCTTTCCGCCAGTCAGGCACATCTCAGGTTCCAGGCACATCTCAGCACCAAGGGTGCCTCAGATCGCGATAAAGCAGCGATGAAGCATGTCTCAGAATCAATAGCCAACGTTTGAGAAGCGAGCCAAAACCAAGAGGGGGAATAGCTAAAAACCAACTGCAATAAATATCCCGAATCACACTGTAGTTGATGGCAAAACAGATTGAACTGATCCTGGACGGAACTGGGTCCATGGTAGGTAGGTGCAAGAAGTAGAATGCAACTTTTCTTGACTCAAAGGAGCATGGAACTGAGTCTTGAGCCGCTGGATCCAAAATCTTCCCAGAGCCCACCGGCTCCTGCCACACCCATAAAACTGGCCGGCATCGAGGTCAAAGTCTTTCCAGAACACAGTCGCCATGAAAGCACGAGACTCGTGAAAGAGCCGTCTGGATCAAGTGGAAGGAACGTGGCAAGAACTCAAAAACCATGAAAATACACTTCGAAGATGCAAGGAAACAGGCAGTCCAGGATCTTCTGTGCCACATCCTGACGACAGAGTTCTCCAGCAACCAATCAGTGAATTCAATCCCTACTTTGTGGTTGCAAGTCAATCACCTACCCCACACTCAAGCCACTATCAGCCATGAGACGCAAGTTTGACAACGCGTTGGGCAACCACCTAAGTTTACCGAGGCTTTCAAGTAGAATTGTGTCTTAAATCGCTATGCCGCTATGCGGCTAGGGCCGCTAGGGCAACATTCAATGAATGCCTCCACTATAATTCTAAACTCTTGAACACACGTTTCAACGATCGACAACGCAGCCAGAACATCCACATTATTTGCTTATCTCTTGGCGTCTGCCCTGCCAAGCTTCTGCAACTGCACATGTTTCTCAGACGATCGCATGGGTTTCACATTGATCAGCACACGTTTCTTATTTTCAATTCTGCAGTTGTCGATACAAAGCGACAGCATTGAATCCGGAAGTCCCTACTGACAGGCATTTGAATTGTCTTAAAAATGTTTGAGAGGCCACTTTCTTTGAGGGTGATCAAAAGTTAGCTAGAAGGTAAGCAAGGTTTGTGTGTGTAACCCTTGGAATCATCAGGAGTCTTTTGGCTTTAAAACTTGCAGGGGGAAGCAGGGAATCCACAGTTCTGCAGGCAACGAAGACAACTGTGGATGCTCCGTGAAGCAACCAATCCGTGCAATTTGAGCCTCATTGAACCTACGTAGGGCAAAAGCTGTCTCATTCCGTCTTTTGTTGTAAAATGCTAATGAGCTTTGCAGATTTGAATCTACGTTCGACGTTCGAGTTCCTTGTCGTGGGATTAGGCTTTTGAACCTCTAGACTAATTAAGGTCCAGGTTGTTCTTTTCCGACCTTGAGAATGTTTAGAATATCTTGCATACTCCTGGTTTATGGAGGCATTGTTTCACCTGGGCTTCCGTGTGGCATGTGGCATTCAGACCGTACGTACTTTATCAAGCCACCTAAGTCACCTAGGTATCATTTACATAGGATCTGATTGCGTTGCAATTTAGGCTTGAAAATGCTCAAATTGCATCAGGACGAGGGACTTGACCTGGGGGATCGAAAAGAATCTTTTCTTAGCCTATGATTCATTGCAAAACACTGGCTTCCTATTGCAACACATCTTTACCAAAGCAGGCTGAAGCTAAATGAAACACAAAGAGTCGACAGTGTCCTTGAATCCCAGCTCTGTGAGAGCATCTACCGCCAAGGCCTGAGGGCAGTCTGAAAGTTTGGACTATTCAGCCGCTTTCTGTCTGCTTTCAAATCTGCAAACCTGCGACAATTGCGGAAGACTCTGCGGAAGACCAGTTTTAACGGCTGGCAACGGTCAGCATGCAACTGAAAGATTGTGAAACCCATACACATGTCATTTCTATCAACTCAAATCGGTTGCAGTGCTTCAGAAGGTTTTGCACCATGTCCGGGGGTCTCATCATGCAAAGGCTGCTAGCTCCGCGGCATAAGACCAGTGCCTCCCAAAAATGTTACTGTTAGACTGTTAGACACAATTCTGGCAAATCATGGCACCAACTTGCTGGTGCGAGTACAAGCCTAAAGAAGACTTGTCCAAGTAGGAAAGCAGGCCTTCCAGCCTCTTTCCGCTGGCTGTGATCTTCAGCATCCCACAAGCAACGCCTTCCTTTGTGACTGAAAAAGCAGGTCACTTCATAAGTATCTTGAGTTGTTGCAGGTGCTGTACTGAAACAAGCAAAATGTCCCAAGGAATACCGGACAAAGCAGCCTCTTTCAGGAAAGTTGCGAACAAGTTGCGACTCCAATTCCAAAAGCAAAGGATTCCTGCGATTCGCAGGTTCGGCCTCCAGATCGGCCTCTCCACGTTCCAGGTCGTGGTTGCCTTTGTCAGGCACGTCGCAATTGACGGTCGCCAAAGATTTTTCGCAATATAATGCAATATTCGCAAAATGTCCATCGTTCTCACCCTCCAATTGGTTCTTTTCGGGTGGGTCATTCCATGTCATTTCCTTTATCATCCGTGACACATCTTGAAATCTCCTGTAAACAGTGCCTTGATTCAGGGCTACTACACGCCCAGCAAAAAGAATATAGATTCAGAAATGGCTCACTGCACAGCTCACAAGATGGATGATCATTCAGGATTGGGATCAACAGGTAAGGGCTTCAAGGGCTGAGTGAAAAAGCACGAAAAAGCGGATTGAGATGGCCAGATTGCACAGAAGGCTAAGGACGCGTCCCCCTGTGTCGCTTTGCTGCAATCATTCAACCTCCTGAAATAATGCAAACCAAGGATGAAAATGACAGAAACCGTCAAATGCTGCAACTGTTCAGGTAGTGGCTAGGAGGTTCACCAAAAAGGTCGTCAAGAATCCAAGAAAGGAAATCCTATCCGGGTAATGTCGCTCAGGACACAATGCAGCCTGTGCTTCATCTGCTCCTTCCTTCTGCGCTGCCGCCTCCACAAAGTTGTCTGAGAATGGTACGTCGCAGAGTGCACGGAAGGTCTGTTCGTATCACCTTCTCCCGAGCTTCTATGACTGTTTGAAGGTTTGGGGCCCTTTAGGCAACTCGAGGCACCTGCCTCCTCTTTTTTCTTTCGTCGCCGCGCTCGGCGCGCTTTGTTGCTCCGGATGCGCTTGGCACGTTGATCTGCCTGTGACGGAATCCATCAGCGAAGAGATTTGCTCCATGAAAGCCAAGTCTTGAGAAGAATATCCACACATGCGCCTTCGTTTCCATGCCCAAGACAACCTTCTTATACCTCCGAGTAAGGCTTCATGCATGCCATCCAAATGCTTTCATCTCTTGCCTCTTACCGTTTCATTTCTTTCTGGCCTCCATGTCATGTCTCTTTTGGTCTTGTTTATGTTTTTCCCACCCTTTCTTGTTGACTTTTCTTCAAGCACACCATTAAACCGAGACTCCACGATGTTCTCCAACCAATTAGTAACAAGAAGCTAGTAGTAACAGGTGCCTTACTAGTAGTAACAAAAAGCTAGTAGTAACTTGTGCATTTTAGACATGTGCTGGGCTCCGGACAGCTCGGCCAGCCGGCGGCGAGCGGAGACACGGTTCTCCAGCTGAGTTCGATGACTCTGCGCCTTCACCTGCGCACAGCGATGCTCCGGTGAGTTCGTCTGGTCACTGTCATGTCTTTTCAAGTAGTGAAAGCTATATACAAATATAAGTTTCCCTCAAAATCTAAACAAATGAATAGTGCGAGCGCTATCCTGCGTCCAGGTAGTAGCTTAAGTAAGGTACGAGCTACCTCTAGCTAGCTACTACGAGCTACCTACCTCTAGCTAACCTCCCACACCTCTACTTGTAGTGGCCTGACCTTTCTGTTCGACCTGAAAGACCTAGTGGTGGATGGAAGTTGGAGTGCCATGGAACCCCCGAGCACACCTCCAGTCCAGAAGGGCCATGTCGCAAGCGCACAGCCGTCTCAACCTGGCAGGTCAAGCCATTCAGCGCTTTCCAAACTTCAAACAGAAAAGCTTTAAAAGTGAAGCTCTTTGGTTGGGAACAGCACCTTGTTGACATTCTGCCCTCCAGGTCCAGATGATTTTGTGAAGCTCTCCTCCAGATCCTTCAAAACGATGCCCAATTGTTCAAGCTGCCTCAAAGTGTTCAGAGCTCAACTTAAGCATTGGACCCATGAGAAATGTCCATCCTGAAGAACAAGCTTTTGTGCTCTTAGAAAATACAGCAGGCTTTAGCTGAGCGACTCATCTGCTTGGCCTACGTCAGGGCCGGCTCCCCGCTGCACTGACCCGCTTGTTCGCTGCCGATTCACCCCAACAAAAGTGCAACACCAAACCGAGGTCAAGCCTGAGATACACAGCAGTAGTGCCTACTTCAATTAGAGTCTAAGAGTCTAAATACAGTCAGAATTGAGTGATTGAGTGACCAAAGCTGCCAAGACGCATGCCCAAAGTAAGAGCACTCTCCTCCGACTCCACATGGTTGTGCGTCATCAAAGGGCCAAGGCCAAGGCTAAGGAAAACAATTGCTCGCTGTCAACAAGTGTGAGGGTCTCTGAGCAAGGCAACTTGCAGAAGTTTGGGCCAAGGTATCTGCCGATAGGCGTGCTTCATTTGTCACGTCTTACTTCTTGACCATGACCATACCAAAAGATAATCCATTTGCCTGGTCACAAGCACTATTCCTTGAAACGATCTCGCTGGGACCTCAACGGTAAAATAGGCTGCAGTTTGCCGTGACTGCAAAAGAAGTCAAAGAATCCAAACTATGACAATATGTCTTGAAATAAAATATAGAATCTAAATTCCACCTCCAAATCTTCCACTTTTCGGCCTCTGCGGCGGAGTGCTCCAGGTCCATGGCAGCCACGGCGTCCCGCAGTGCCGCCTTCGACTCCTCCATCTTTGTGCGAAACTTGGTGTCAAAAAACGGCTCTTTGAAAATGCAAAAAAATTGGCACAGGAAAAGCATATGGCCTTCAACCTAAGAGCGATGGCCTCCACTAGCGAAAACAAAACAATGGCCAGTGTCTTTGTAAGTCGTCCTTCAATTGCAAATGAGCAGTTCCTCTTTGGGTCAACAGCAAGCATGCACCTGAAAAGAAGCTGGTCACGCTTGCTGGGGCAAGGGACTGTGCACTCATGGAACCTACACCTGGAAGGAAGCATGCAGCATGTGACTATTCTTTCAGAAGGAAAACCCTCTTTAATAAGGGCCCCTTCAAAGATTTGGTTCAAAGTTGTTCAAACAGCAACATGTTCCCAAATGAACCGACTGAGGTCTGCACGGCTTCTGAAGCCTTCATTCAAGCGATCGTTCGTCCGCTTGAGTATATCAATTCCAGCCTTAGAGTGCCCATGAGCTGGACAGGTTGTTCAATGTTTAAGGCCGGCAGACTGTGAATCAGTTCTTGCACTGACAGATTGACCAGTTTGGGTCGAGGCTGTGTAATGCTGAATTGCACCTTTCCAGTCCTTTCCAACACACTTGGAAACTATAAGCTCAAAATCCTGTCCTTCTTCATTGCCCTGTGAATGTTTGATCTTAATTGAAGTCCTTCTGTTCAAGAGCATCATCCCCTGCCAATTTGGAATCGTCTGCAGAGATGAAGAAAATTTCATCCGCGTGTAGGAGCGTCCTGGAATGTCAACACTCTAAGCAATGTTGTTGAAACCATCTGAGCATGAAAGAGCAATCGGCTATATATAGCAGCTATGTCGAAGGATCTGGATTCAACCCAAGACTGCAAAACTTCACAGTTGTCACTATTGTGGACAATGTATTGAGATGAAATCTACCGGACCAGCCCTGGTGTGCCAGTCTGTGCCTTTGCAACAAGCTTGGCCCGCTTCTGAGGTCATCGCTTGATGGTTGGTACAGGCTCCTCGCCGCCAAACCTGGAGCAGATTGAGATGATTAAAATGCGAGTTGATGGTTGTTGATGTGATACAGTGTAACAAAAGAATTCGGCGTGTCAATCAAACCGAAGGAATATCAGAATCACGAACTGCTTGAATTCCGCTAGGATTGATAGGTCGGAGTGGTTGCTCCTCCGTAGAGATTTTATGCACGTGCGATACACATTTGGCTGGCCCTCCCCATGGGCCCCAGGCAACACGACAAACGAGGCAGGGTCCTCCATTAATTGATAAACTCACTTTTCCCAAACAAACCGCCAAAAGAAGCAAGTGTCTCAAAGACTCCTTCCTCAACTCTCATATGTGCAAAAGCCATCACAGGCTTGTACAGGCGGATAGCATGCAATGAATTCCACAAGGGTCAAAGGAAAAGGATGGGAAGTGACCCGTCAAAAAACTGTGCTTCTCCATCTGGACTGCAAGATCCTCTAATTTTGACTGTGAGTCGAGCGCAGGGATCCTACTGCCCGAATGGATGCAACTTCCAACAGCTCGGGTGCACATCTCTGATCCTCACAAAGAGCAGCCACAATGCTGCAGCTGGTAGCATCCTTACTTCCGAAAAGGCAAGCCGGGCAAGCCGGACAAGCCACTAAAAAGCTGCAAGGAATAGAATTGCAAGAGTTCAGCGTGGTTTTCTTACTTGCAATGACTCATGCCAAGTTTCCGCCTGCATCTTTGCAAGAAGCTGCAGTGCCCTCCGCCAATTAAGGTATGGCAATGCTGCATTGCCTGTGGCTGCCTGAAATTCCGGCAAAATGGGTGCTCCATCTTCAATGTGAAAACTGACCAACTGGACCTCCGTGTCCCACAACAGTGCAAAAAAGAATCGGAACGAGGCTCAGCTATCAGCGCCAAGCTGCATCCACACTTTTGGACTGCAGTAGCTGCAACGAAAAAACCCAAGCCTGGGAACCAAGAGTTTCATGAGCGTGTCGGAGCATCTAACGGCGTTGATCTGCTGATGACACACGTCAAGAAGGCCTTGTTACTGCAGGCAATGGCGACATTTTGAGATGCCTTCGTCGGCTCTAGTCCTGCGAACGGAATCGAACTGGCTCGAACCCATGAGGTTCGTGTCATGTTGGATTCAAAAACACTGGAACTCGGGCATGTTGGACAAAGTATTTCAATGCCACCCTCATGTGAAGCTAGCAGGCTGGGCAGGATGTGTGAAAGCATCTTTACGATCTTGCAGTGGCTATCTCCCCACCATACATCATTGGACATGGGTTCAAACCTTGTTCAGCTAGGGTCACACTTGATACAGGAAAAAAGTACTGCGTTTTGAACACCCAAGCAATTCGGCTGTGGGAGCCCCGTTTAAATTTCAAACACCAAAGTCGGGATCTTGTCCTGCAGCTCTGGCAGATCTAAGTATCATGTACACAGTCTGCCAGCTCTGTCTAAGACCATGAGCTTTCATTACCTTCGCACAGCGGTGTGCCAAACATGAGAGAGTCCATCACTGCACAGGCTGAAACACCGTTCTTCGCTGGTTCTTGCAGGACGGGATGCTCCATCACACATGACAATGTCATTGCTGACATACATGGACCTTGACATCGGTTCAGCTTTTGGGCTTCATGTCTGCAAAGTCTGTTCAATACAATCAAGAAGGAAAGCTTTGAACATTGAACCGAATCAGAACACAGATTGCATATAGGTGATGTCGGCGCTTGAAAAACGCACGTGGAAGGGGGCCTACAATGGCCTGAGTTTGCAGGAACCCATGCTTCACAAGCATCAATTTGTGGTCAATCGCTCTCAGTCATCTCAAACAAATGATGCGCAATTGCACGTTTGAGTGTGGAACAGAGCAAAGGTGAAAAGATTCAATGAGATCTGCCACTGCCGGCACGCGTTGCCTTATTCTCCAGAATTCACAGCGAGTACATGTAGAGTGGCAACCATCTGCTCTGAAGTCTCTGAAGGAAATCAACATGAAAAGTTGTGGGGCTCGAACTTGCACTGAGGAGCGAGGCAAATGTCACGCAATTTGGCAATCCAAAAGACCTCGCTCTCACTGACTAAAATAAGAAAGCTGTAATCAAGGTCTCTTTAGCCTCGTCTCCCAATTCGCTCATCTTGGTGAGTCGAACAAAAGAACCCTTTTTGCTGCGAAGGAGCCACGTCCGAATGAAGTTGTTTGCTTGCAACCACTGCGCTGCAGTGTCCAAGGCAAGGACCACTGAGTTACAAGATCCAAGATCGGGCCTTAACTTCTTTGTCAGAGACTCTCTCTCTCTCTTTCTTCACCTCCAACATCCCAGCCTCAGCTTCTCATCAAGAAGCTGCGCCAGCAGCCCCACAGCCTCAGAACACATTGCGGCTGTTTGTTCTGCCTTTTGTCAAAGTTCACAAAAAGCTCTACCAAGAGGCCAGGTGCCAGCTGCTCCGCGCAGCAGACATCAAGGCAGTGAATGAGATGATGTCAGCAGCATCCTGATATGTCTCGTTTTGTCATACACTAAAAATTGCCTGAGGCTTAGGGCAAACATATGAAGCCCCAGAAACTTTGGTTCAAGCAGGCTGTTTGCAATGCCAAATCTCCCTTGCAAGAACTGCACTAGAACAGCCTAGCAGTGATGCTTTCTTCAGGCCCTCAAGTTGCCTCAAGACTCTCTTAGACTCCGTCGGTCACAGTCCTCTGCCATGCTGAAGGTCTCGCGCCAGGCTCGGCCCTTTTCGCAAGCGCTCATAGCAGCATTGCAACCTGCGGGCATTGCCCCTTTTGCAAGGCTCACCCTAGATTCTAGACGGTCCAATGGAATCATAGAACCATGCAGACGGAGACACTGTTGCAGAGTCAGGAAGCTTTTCGGAACAATACAAAGCACAGAAAAAAAAAATGATGCTATGGAAAGCTTCACATTGAGCCAAAGGTGTCTTCCTCTGTAACGAAAAGAAGCAAACCCAAAGGAAGGGGATGAGACAAAAGGCATGCTTGTACATTTTCGTTCTGGCCCGGACAAGCCTATCAATATTAGCACAAGACTTGCTTGGAACAAAACAAAGGAGCTTCTGAAGCATGTCCCTGCGACTGCAAACAACACCAAAAGGAACCATGTTTTTCCAAGGTACTGATGATGTTAGGTTCAACAACGCTGAACCTCATTGCTGTTGTGAAACCTGAGCCAAAGGACCCCCGCAACTCTAATTGCCATAGTTGTTCTGCAGCGTCAGCAAGAAGAACGAGCTATTGAGAAAAGCGCCCAATGGGCAACAAGTCTAGCTTTAACATGGCGGTGCGGTTGTGACGGACCACTCAAACAAACGCACGACGAGGCATGTCAAGTAAGACAGATTACCAGTAAGACAGAACTGCAAATTCTGCTTTCCGCGGCCACCCGATCTAAACATTGGCGGTGCCAAGGAAGGCAAGCTCATGCATGTTTGACTTGGTTCACAATTGATACTCCCTGCACAATCTTGAGCGGGCGTGCCTAAGCCAATGCGCCAACGTCGGCCCTTTTCACAAGCACTGATGCATGCCTTAGATTTAGGACAAGCTCCATTGACCCTTTGCAACAACACACAAGTACCTTCAACCGACAGCTGTTTCACGTGCATGGAGGAGCCGTGTGGGAGATGACGTCGGCCACGAATGCTATGGAGAACAGCTCCAGCGCCGATGGCCACATCACAGTCTTTTCGCAAATACTAATGGCCTCAAAAAATCACATACGTGTCGCCTAAAGCGGCTGTATTGGCACTGAGCTCGGGACAGAGTTGAGGAGGATGAGATCCGGAAGAAAGCCAAAGCACCTCTTAGCAATGTGAGTCATAGGACTCGATGACTTGGAGTCGGATCATGATTCCTCATATTCTCATACTATTCAGAAGTTCTTATGTTTGTATGTTTCTTTTCGTTTTTATCCCGTGTTTGATGGTTTCCTTCTTCCCCGCACCGGAGTTCGGTCAGCAGCTGCAAGGCCCGCTTCCATTGTAGCCCCTTCTCATAAGCGGTCATGACACCAGTGAAAGCCATGAGGTCGGTTTGGAGGCCTGGGATGTTTGGCAACACCCTGGCCCACAATTTCACAAACTACATGTACAGATATGTACAGTATCCCAGACACATCACAGATTGACGTGGCCTGAGTGAAAAAGAAGATGGCAACAATAAGGCCACTTGCAGGAGCTGGCTTTGTTCCAAGCAATGATGCAAGTCGTCTCAGAAATGATGTTCGGCTGAAGCACCGACAACCTTGTCTCGTGCAGTCCAGAACCTTACAACCCTTCAACCAAGTTCAATGATGCCTGAGGCCTGAGAGAAGAAACATCGGAGCAAGAACGGTTCAATCAAAGCATGCAAGACACTGTAGCTGCAGTGCCAGCATCAAGCTGCTTTTCCACTGATCTGTCCTTGCCAAGGAGGCCATCTTGGCATTCCACAATCGAAGCGGTTGCTGGTGAAGCTGCCGTCCTGGTAGTTAGCAGTGAGCTCATGTCATCTCTTATATGCAGGTTGGGAATTCATCAAACAGGAAGCAACACCAAGCCCATTGACTGAAACAGCTGCTTGGTATGCAAAAAGTCCAAGCTGTCCTTGAAACCGCACATAGTCTGCTGACCCATTCAACAGCGTCATCCACCACACATGAAGCAGACAGCCCAACAATTGATTGAAAAATATTGCAAGCAATCCAAGGAAAGGTTCTAATTAATGCACAAGGCATCATCGAGCTTGAGCCAGTATGTTCATATGACAGTTCTTCCTGAACGCAAAAGAATCCACAGCTCTTACATAGAGTGTGCACTCCCATCGATACACTGTGCGCTTCACAATGGCTGAGGCTTGAGCTTCTTCCAGCCAGATGCAGGGACCGTCAGGGACTCTGTTGGTGCCTCAGATTCCCCAAACAGTCCAGGATCAAAACCCAAAGCTCACTTCCTGCCTCAACTCAATTTTTTGTCGAATGGAAATTGCTGCAACACCAAATTCAAGGGTCTCACTCCGTAGAGAGGGCGGGCGCTCTGCCCCAGCAGCCAGCCGTGCTGCCAAGAGCAACGCAAGGCTCTTGTCTACACTGCACATGAAGAGGCCAAAACAAACCTTGTCCATTCCCCAACATGTTAGTTGACCTGCAATTGAGGAGGGTTGAGGTAAGGAAGTGCACGCAAGTGCTGTCTTCAAGGCCCCAAGAGACCTTGACCACTCACAACCCTGACATAAACCCGTTTGACAGGACAGATCAGCATGAAAGTTAAGGACACTGCACAGGCACAGGCCACCCTGCATTGGCCTTGAATCCTTAAAAAGCTTGAAATCAACCAACAGTTTTTGGCCTGCCTTCACAGCACCAGTCTTCCTCAGAAAGGAATCTTCACTCACTCACTCACTCACTTACTCACTCACTCACTCTCTTAGGATCAGGATGTACAAGTCACTTGAGCCACTTGCCGGCAAGCGTCGCATTCTTGTGTGGTTCTCGGGTGATCTTCAGTTCCTGGCCTCGTTCAGCATGTTCGTACACCTGGCCAATCAATTGCTGCAAGAAATTCATTCTGAGCTCTTCCAAGCAAACAGCAAACGTCTCCAAAGGGGTTGCGCCCAGCGCAAGCGGAGTGCAAAAAAAGGTTTCAAATTCGCTGGTGACACTGGAGCATCGCAGTACTCTCGCTCGGTGGCCTTGTACACTCCATTGGCCTCCTAACAAAGACTGTGCCACACTGTCAGCGATGGCCTCCACCCTAGTAGCGGTGGCCCCCAACCTAAGAGCGATGGTCTCCACCCTAGTAGCGATGACAGCTTATGCAAAAACTGTCTTGCTTGCGTCTTGCTTGCGCATCCTCGCAACCAGCCCCTGAGACCACCACGGCCTCCAGAGCGAGCAAGAAGTGCAATTCAATGTTGCGGCCACGAAGCTTTGTGAGTCCCAGGGGGTTGAGGGACCTTCTTAAGAGGGCCAACTTGTAGATTTGACTCGATTCGACGTTGCTATCAGCCTGAGGCAAGTCAGCGAAGACCATAGCTGAAATGGTCAAACACGAAAAAGTTTCGTGAAAAAGACTGGTTGTCCAAAAGAATGCATCAAAGAATGAGAGTGCTACAATGAATGGTCATGCAATCAATTATTATGTGTATATATGTTCTAGTTATTTATATAGTTGTGTGTTTTTTACTTATTCTCTGCCAGCAAAATTCCTGCAGGTCCACTGCTGACAGAGTATTCTGCATCTTGATTCTATACTTTCTCTGGTGGCGAAGGTAGAGCTGCGTTTGTGCCTTGTTGTATCTTGTTGTGCCGAAAGCGAATGGAAGCAGCTGAAAGCACAAGAAAAATGAAGTGAGATTCAAATACCAACACAGTTAGTCTCCAAAGTGTGCAAACACCATGTCACTCCTAACACAGTCTGTGCCCATCCACAGCACGCTTTGGTCCAAGTGCAGCAATCCGAAAGTGTTCAATCCTTGTTGTTTCAATATGTTTCAAGGAAATGGTTCTCAAATCGCCTCCTTAGGCGATGACATTCAGTGCTGCCCATTCAGGGCCCACCAAAACCAGGGCATGCAAATGACACAAATTGGGGTCGGCGCATCTGCGCAAAAACCAGTCGAGACAAACGAATTCAAAAACCCACGATGGATTCATCAAATTGCCTTGTGCATCCTGAAGTTCTACCTATTGCAACATACTATCGAAGTAGTAGCTTTGGTTCTGCAAGCACCAGGCATTTGATAGAACCAAAATGACTGAATTGCTTGGCATGCAGGCTAAGGAGAAGGGCAAATATCTGGACTCTGCAAACCTCAATTCACAGGGTACCCGCTGTGCCTCTCGTTCTATCCCCCTTCTCTCATCTCTTCCCCAATGTTTGTGATTTTTTTGATGCTAAACTCACAACGTGCTACACTGCTGCTGAATGCCCAAATCCTACTGCCAAGGTGCCTCCCTCAACTGCAGGTGGACCAGATGACTTCCGACTTGCAGTGCTCAGGCGCTTGGATTGTCGAATTCCCAGGCCAACTCAGGAGCTGTTGGGCTGTTCTGTTGCAACAAGGAAATTCCAGGTTGATGCCACGCAACACCTCTTTGTCCTCCCCCAGCAGAGCCCTTCGAGGGAATCCTGCACAATGTGCGAAACAAAGTCTCATCCTGTTCATCTTTGGAATTTTGGGTCTTATTCATCGTTGTTCATCTTTTGGATGATGCAACACAGAACCCCGAAGCGGGCGTGCGACTTTGTGGCTGTTTGTGGGCTCCTGCTGATGTGCAGGCATCTGGCGTCAAAATTAGATGGGATAAAGGCTGCTGAGGGGGTTCGGTGGGTTTCGGAGGTGTTGGTGTGGCATGCACCATGCTGCCATGTGCTAGGAACCCTGTCGTCGTAGCATTGTCACTTAATGGCACTTTCCAAGCAAACACTTCTCTCACACAGGCCTGCCACAGGCAATCCACTGAAATTCTTACAGTGGAAGAAGCTTCTTAAGGTTCATCTTAGCGGATTTCGACGTTCCCCCGTCTTTCAAAGCCAACACCCTTTGTGGTTCCATGCACAAAAAGGGGTCGGCTGCACCCGGGTATCAGACCCTCGTGCGCACACCTCTGTGGGACTGTACACCTCTGTAAAAAGATCTGCAGGCGTAAGAAGGTGTGCTAGTCGTCGCATTTTGCTGCGCAACAAGCCTGCGGATACGCGCAGCAGTCCCCCCAAGGGCATGCGTGCGCGCGTGCGTGCGTGCGTGAGCGCGTGTGCCTTCGTGTGCGCGCAGGTGCGTGTGCGGGTGTGCATGTGCGTACGTGTGTTTGAAGCTGAGGTTGCCAGGCTTTTGACAACAGACCCTCATGCGCACACCTGTGTGGGAGTGTGTACGCGCAGGCATAAGAAGCTGTTCTGATCCGTGCAAAGACCCTGCGGATACGCGCAGTCCCCCCAGGGCATCGCCGGTTGGCGAAGCCTGTCAGTAAAGTCAATATATATAGAAACAAAAGAATCAGGACAGGCCACGCACCACGGTACTCAGGACCTGCAACTCGATCAGGCTATCAACACTTTACCAGGTCTCCTTTGGGTTGAGATACCCAAGGGCTGCGGGTTTTTGCGACAGTTTTGAGGGTTTTTTGCAACGGTGAGGTGTGAGAGGGTTTTTTTGCGACGGTGACCGCAGAAAGGGTTTTCTGTGACAGTACTGTCCGCAGGGGGTTTTTTTGCGACGGTGGGGCGAGGGTTTTTTGCGAGGGATAGAGAGGCGGCAAGCGTTTGTGAAGTTTTCTGCGACGGTAACCGGTTTTTTTTGCGACGGTAGCGCATGGACGGGGTTTTCTGCAACGGTAAGCGGGTCTTTTTGCGACAGTAAGGGGCTGGAGGCGACGGTACTATAGTAGTACGACGACGACGACAACGACGACGACTACTACTACTACCACTTCTACTTCTACTTCTTACTACCACTGCTACTACTACTACTACTACTACTACTACTACTACGCCTACTACTACTAATACTACTACTAGGACCACGACGACGACAACTAGACTATACTACTATACTGCTACTACGACTACGACAACCAGTACGACGAATAGTATATTAAGACTACTAACTGCTAGAACGAGTATACTACTCCTTTGATTTCACTTGTACCACCAGACTGCATATCGTGGCACAAGATGTCGGCAATGTGGAAGACAGTTGCAAGTTGACAAGCGTTATCCCTCAGCGCCTCTTGGCTTCCCGCGTGCCGCGGTACTGAGCTTCTCTGCCACGGCAAGGCGGACGCTGGGCAGAGAAGAAAAACTGTGCGTACGCAGGCGTCGCACCCCACCCTGGCGATGAGCAGGTAACCTGGCGAGCGCAAACAGCGAGCGACAAAGCAGAACAGAGTGAGCAGAACACTTGGAAACAATGGCGGCCACGCCACGTTAGAAGAAAGACCTGGCAGCCACTCCAATGGAACGAAAGCACGAGCTACGAGATTGGCGCGCTGTCAGCGCTCAGACAAGAAGATACCAGAATCGGCGAGAGGACAAAAGAAAAAGCATAGACTTCTTTTTGAGCGTCAGTATATCTTCTGTCAGACACCGCAGCGTCTTTTGCGCGGGGGCGCGTCCGATTTGGTGGGACGGCCCGTGCGTTTTCTGCTGCTAGGCAATGCGGTCAGAATCACAGGCGGCTGTGGGAAATTCGGAAGGCCGAGACTGCGAAGAAAAGTGGAATGCTCACATTGTGCATGCATAGCAGCTGCCGGGCAAGAGCATAGAATAAAGGTGGGTCGAACCTTCAAGTACACGACGCACTCAAAATGAAATTTGAACGACTGTAAGCACAAGTTTCCATCAGGAGTGAACAGGTCAGGCAAGCTCCGGGCACTCAAAGTAGCTGGGTGGATCAACACTTGCAAGACTTTCAAAGTAAGGGCACGGTTCAGTGGCGAAACTGCGGCTGCGCTGGCGAAAGCAACCCAGGAACAATCATTGCACTGCTGCAAGACATAGAGGTCGGTAGGGGCCAATTTGGCAAAGTTGGCGGCGCAAGTGCGCCCAGCCCGTGTGAGGGCAGTGCCATTGACCAATTGTGGATCTTGAGTGGGCGGAACAAAGGCCAGCGGGGTGGAAGCTGTCCACGAATACCAATGCTGCCAGTGATCTGTGTACAGCTTTTGCAACACATGAAGCGCATGGCCAATGTTTCCGCGGCCGCCAAGTTGGTTCAATTCCCATTGCCAGGAAGGGTGGATGGCCTCGGCAGGCTCTGGCAGAATACCATCAAACCCAACCCAGAAGCTTACAAAGATGATGTCGGGAGAATGGTGGCCTTGGAAGATGGCTGGCATAGGCCGCTCATAGGTCTGCAACCAATCGGCCAGGGTGGGTTCACCGAGACGCCGAAGGGTTGCGAGGAACGCTTTCCACAGCCAACTGAAAAGAGGTAAGGTCGGAACGAAGCGAAGGATGTTGATGACCTCCAAAGCAAAATGCACGTATTTCTTAACAAACTTCCCTTTTCGCGAGACCAGCTGCTGGCCTTTTGCTTGCATAGTAGTGTGCGATTTTTCCTTGAAGTGAAAGAAATCGTCACACGGTCGGGAAAGCGGCCAGACATGGCGACGAGCTTCTTCGATGCTCAGGTGGAAATCTTTGCGCAACTGCAAGCTCATCTGCTGCTGTAATGGCTTCTGGTTGGGATGCCTCGCTGTCCAAAGGTCACAACAAGCGGCAAACAAGTTGACATAGTTCGCCTTTGTCTCAGCATGAAAAATTGCTTGCAGCAGCGGCATGCCATGTGAAGTCCAAGCACGGCTCTGCGTGCGGCAGCCTGCGCCCATTTTTGGCAAATGGGTTGGGCGTAGCTCATCTTTCACCAGCAAGCTCAAAGTCGCAACGCCCATGCCACGGTCCAGCACCTGCATCTTGGTATCCACCGCCAATGCTACGTCGCTGCCAGTATAGCGACTCAGTGTGTCAAGCATGCCTGGGCGAGCAAAGATAACGCACACCTCAGCATCCGAGATGATAGGCGGCTTGACCAGAAACAGGGCGTCGACCTCCTTCGGCACTGTCGTCGGGAGCGTGCCCACTTCCAGTTGAACAGCTGCAACAACATTACTGTCTCGGTCTAATGCTTGTTTCGATTGCTTTTTTTTCTCGCCGAAGCCAATCACCGAGCTGCTTGTTGGTAGGCAAAGATGCTTCTGTAGAACCGGCCGCCAAAAGTGCAGCACGGAGGTTTTTGACACCCCGACCGCCCTGCGTGAAGAAAATTGCTGCTGCTTGCTTCTGTCGCTGGTTGAAAATTTTTCCGGACGCAGAACGGGCGACTCCATGACCGCTATGGTCGCCTGCCCATTGGATGACAAGCGTGCCAGGAGAGTAGATGGTTTTTGCAAGGATGTAGTGAGTTCGCCACATGCGCTGACACGTTTCACTCTCCACAAACGAATCTCCGACTGAATCCTTTCCTTGTTTTGCCACACAGTTCTGACTGCAACCCTGCAGTCACTCCATTCAGACCGTTGACGAAGATGCGCAAGGAGCTGCTTGTGTCCGAGCAGAGGCGAACCGAGGTCAACGCGACCAACATCGCACCACGAGCGTTCTCGTTTGCGCGTCTGTCTCGTAGCCGGCCGCTTGGCAGCACCGCCCGAAGTAATGCTCGTTTGGTCCCCAATGCGGCTGCTTCCACGCGCACAAGGCGGGTCAGCACTTGCAGGGTGTCGGGCCTGTGGGCTTGGAGTTGAAGGCTCCAAATTGATCTCCAAAGTTCTCTCATCCATCTCCTCCAAGGCTTTGAATTCTTGGGCGCTCACGACAGTGAAGCGACCCAGAACCCAGCAGATCTGGGAGCATATCATATTGGATGCCCAACACGGCCGAAATGTAGGGGTCCTCCAACGGGCGCTTCCTGCAGGCAGCTCCTTTGGACACTTCCGGCTCCTGATGCGAGGTCGCTAACAAAATCTTCCAGCGAACTGGGTTTCTTGTTGATAATGTTACCCATGTTAGTAACGGCTCACTACTATCGCTTTGCAAGCTTTGGTCATATTTGTTTGACTTCGCACATGCACGTTGGCCCTGTGTCACTGGCAAAGGGGTGTGTCCATTACACCTTGACTTGCGCAACAAACGGCTCGCGCTTCGTTATATGTTTTGTTTTGGATCCGAGCGACCGTGTTGTCCGCACAAGGGTGATCCCGCAGAATCTAGCAAGTCTATGCAAGTCTTTCACCACACCGCTCGAGACAACTCGTTTCGGTTGCGCGCGCGCTCCTCGTCAAGGAAGCAAATGAGATCGTCAAAGGACATGCACCCACCAGATTTCTTGCTTGCAACACTCCCGATCACCAAGGAAAGTTCGTCGGCGCAAAGAAAGCACCGAGGGCCATCCCAGTGGATAGCGGAAGCAATGTCGATGAGACCTTCCCAAGTCTGTCGCTCATTCCAGCGGAGCCATTCTAATCTGGCTGACTTTTCTGTGTTGACCGCCCCCTCGCATTCCTCCTCGTGGGCCTCGGACTGTCTGGACTTCTTGGCTGCGCCCTCGACCAAATTGAAATGCAAACGGCTAAAGACATCTTTCAAGCCCTTGCCCCCACCCTCACGCACCATGCGCTTGAGGATCTTCAAGACGCTGCTCTTCTTCAAGCCAGTCCCTCCAACCATGAAAGTAGACTCGCGTCCGGAAAGGGTCCTGGTGCCATTCTTCATCCGAAAATCTTTTGGAAGATAAAACTTCCGATGGGCAGCCAGGGGGGCTCTCACAAAATGCTCGTCCACCCGGAACACGCGAGCGAGTAGGCTGTAGCTCTCAGAGGACAAACGGGTTGCGCAAGCGTCGATGGGAAACTTGGCATAGTGCGCGTACGCTTGGTCAGCGTTGAATTGCTCCGGTGTCCCCCAATCATTGAACAACTTTTTGAACAAGGTGTAAAGGCCCTCCTCGAGATTCTCCACAGTACTACCAAGAGGCTGGTAGACAGACTGGTAATTGAAGAGGACCCTCAGACAATCCTCCCTCTCAAGCAAATGTGCCCAGGATACATCTTCACCACAAAGGGCACTGAGCTCATGTCGCAGCTCGGCTTCAAGAGTAGGTCTACGCGGCGGCGTGCGACTGTCTGGAGCAGGCAAGTGGGGATCCATCTTGCACCCTGGGGAAACCTCGTGATGAAAAGCCTGCTGCGTCGGAGGCGGAGACGCTGGGGAAGCCATGGCCCCGGGAAAAAGCTAATTCAATGATACACTATGATTACTATATATTACTATATACAAGTAAAATATATGTATGTCAAAAATATAACTTGTAAGTGGATCAGCCGCTGTCAACCCCAGAGTGAAAATTGGAACATCTTCTCTCAACACCATTCCAAGGAATTTTGTCGAAGGAACCAACCCACGCAGGGGGGCGCAACACCATCCCGACCGTCCCGACCATCCCGACCATCCCGACCGTCCCGACCATCCCGACCAATTGATCCTATATCGTTGACGCTTATCCCGAACTTACGCTGGCTCGGCGAAGTCGCGGAAAAAACTATTCCAACTGTTGTTGCTATCCCGACCATCCCGACCAAGGCTCCTATATCGTTGACGCTGATCTCGAACTTACGCTGGCTCGGCGAAGTCGAGGAAAAACTATGCCGACTGTTGTAACTAACTGGTTGTGCACCGGCTATCCCGACCACCCCTACCGTCCCGACCATCCCGACCAAGGATCCTATATCGTTGACGCTAATCCGTAACTATAACGCTGATTCGGCGAGGTCGAGTATAAACTATTCCAACTGTTGTTGCTAACTGGCTGCGCACCGGCTATACGACCATCCCGACCGTCCCGACCATCCCGACCTTCCCAACCATCCCGACCGTCCCGCTAGAATCTGATCCTACGACGCTGATCCGGCCGAAAGGAATCTGATCCCAGACGCTGATCCCTGACGCTGATCCGGCGAAGTCGAATCTGATCCGGCAATTGCCCCCCTTCAGGGCTAGCACTGGGTTGAGTGCCATAAAGAAAGGTGCGCGACAGGAGATGAGGCGTTTCAACAAAGTGTTGGATCCTCAGGAAAAAAAGAAATGAACCAGTGATATCTGCTCAGCCGCTCAACTCTGGTTCTACCAGAGAAGGAAGTAACAACTTGTCCAGTCCTGGACACAATTGTAAGTGACTTGAGTTGGCAGGTCAACTGCCAGGTAAGTCGAGAAAACCATGTTGATTGTCGGAAGGAAACCACATTGCTCCAAGCCATAGAAGCCAAATGCCGCAGGCACTGCAATCCCGAGAGCGAGAACCAACAAGGGAAAGTGGGTAAGGATCTCAATCCAGAAGTCTGCAGGTCCAAAGAATTCACTCTTATCACCACAGTATCGCTTGATCCAATGTACCAGCCAACCTTCGTTGTTGGACAAAGGTATTCAAAGCCCAATCTTTTCATTGTGAACATGATTCTGTCCTGACGACATGGATAAAAAATACCTAGGTTCTAGCATCGAAAACAGCTAACATTGTTGCGGCAAAAAATGCCTCCAAGCAGCTAGCTGCGTACGAGAACAACAGCAAGCTTGCAACAGAGCCACCCAACCAATTCAACATTCAGGTTCCAGAATGGCAAATCCAATCCATGGCGTGGCATGGGCAAACCCAGGAAAAGAGTCCTTCAGCCTGATTGTATATCTATAGTTATAGTCTCGTTGAGCCTTTGTCTGTCAGTGTCCAAACAGGTCTTGATGCATGCCAATTTTCCAAGGTGCTTGCAAAGTGCTCAACTTGGCAACACAATGGGAATCAACCCCATGTTTGAGCCTCCATGAGTCAATTCCAATGCTAGAACAACGTGATTCGTTGAACCTGATGCGTGACCAATAGTAGTGTATAATCAAGGCACGTACAGATTTATACTTGGCGGCGCATCTGTTGCTGCACAAGACTTGTGATACCCGTCTCCGAGGTTGTCTGGGTTCTGCAATTTTTTGATTCGCAGGTAACCCCGCCAGCTTCCGTTTCCAACCTTGGCCCCGATCTCAGCTTAACTTGGCATTTTATGATCCGTTGTAGTAACAGCCACAGCTACAAATTCTGTGAAACCGCACGACTCCAACCTGGGTCTTTGGCTTGAGTGTGCGTTGCTTGCCAAAGCAATGGCAAATCAACCCAAACCTCCCGACAGCAAAGCTGTGAAAAAGGATAGATTTGACTAGGAATGACCTTCAAGAGGCTCTGCTTTCCTTTGAACAGCGGTGCCACTTCTCAGTTAACCTTTCTCATCTACGGAAGTGACTCCAGGGACCTCCTAGCACCTGGGAGAAACAAACAAAACAAACGTCTCACACGAATACTTTCAACTGCACCCAAAAGCCTGTACTTTCCACATTCAACAAATCAACAGACTTGGCTCCCACCGAGGGATACCGCCAGCTGTTCACCTCCAGTAGCAACACCTGGAATACGGAAAAGGCACTAAGCCCAAAGAAGCCGCATTAGCCTGTGATGATATGCCTTAACAATACTGTATAAGCGCTGACAAATATTCCCTGTGCAGGGGGGTTGAGTGCCTTGTCCTCCTTCTCATGCAACCCACCAATCGGCCTTTGACGTTCATTCATTTCTCCAAAGTCAGAGCAGCTAGCAAAGGCCAAGGGCTTGACGCATAGTGACCTGTTGCATGTTGACAAGAAATCTAATTATTCTATATGAACACTTCAAGGCACTTTGCAAAAGAGTTTGCACGAATTCATTCGACAGCTATGCTCACAATATTGCCTCCGCTGAACATGCGCTGTCCCACCACTGACCCTCGGACGTCACGCCATCTTCTCTTTAGAGTAGAGTTCACTGAAAGCTCACACTTGGACTCTAGCGTGAATAGTTGATCAGCAGGAATCTCCTTTCCCGTGTTGCATTGATTTCAGAAAGGTTTGTATCAACTTGTGAAGCCGAGGCAGCTCCAATATTTCTCTCCAGGACCATGTCAATGTCAATCTCAGACCCCTCCTTGATTCATCTGAACTTGATGAAAAGGTTGCAAGAACCTTGGGCTCAACAGACTTGCAATGTCTAGCCGCTTGCGCCGCTTGCCCAAACCAATCGTTTGCCGAGATCAAAGAGGCCTTTTGTTCAATGTCAATGTCAACTGCAAACCCCAGCCCTCTGACAAGGACGCTACTAGGGGCTCCTGGCATCGCTACTAGGGGCTCCTGGCCGCACTACTAGGAGCAAGGACGCTCCTAGGGCTTCTGGCATCGCTACTGACCCTCTTTTTTTGGATTGTTGAGCATCTCACATCTTCACGGAATGCATCTTCGTCCAAATCTGCAGAACCTGAACAGAGGTCATACGATCTGAGGTCATACACTCACACAGTCCTTTCGAGTCCGTTCTTCTACTAGAGGGGTTCTGTTCTTGGGGTCCAGCTCAAGATTTCCACATCAAAGTCCAGCAACCGCAACCATTGTGCCAACAGAGCCAAGGGTGCCCCATCGTACCTCTTTGAGACCAGAAGCACTCCACTTGAACTTACAAAATGAAAAGGTCTTTCCAATTTTGCGCACTGCAGGTGTGACAATAACCAATACCTCCATCATGCAAGATCGTCTTCGTTAAAGTATGGAAATGAGAATTTGAGGCGATCTGAGGCAAAGGCTTCAACAGGGCAGGCAAAGCGTCCAATGCGTCCAAGCCGTAACAGGCCATGACAGGAGGCCAGGTCTCCGCCTGATCATGGCAATTGAATTCCTCCGGACAAATGCACATGTATCAAAAGTCTTCGTTGCCAGAATTCAGGTGCCAATACCAAGCAAGATTCCAAGGAAATACCAAGAAAACATATCCTTGATGCTAACTTTCATTACTGAAGGTCCCTCCTTCCGAAAAACGTCCGCAAAGCGTTTTTGGTCTGCGGGCCCAACCTGAGAAACAAATGAACTGGCTCACGTGAGTTGTGGGGTTGACAACAATGAACATGGACATGGTGATAGCGCTCTTTCTTTACTAATGACTCTGAACCGCGGAAGACACTAAGAGCAGCGACTTCTTCGGCGGAAGCCACTGTCATTGCAGAAGCCACGGCGCAGAATGCTGGATGCTCCTATCAGAACTCCTGACTGTGTTCCACCAAAAGATTCTTCAGACACTCTCAAGGACTCAACTGTATAACCTCTATGACCAGAGGGCCTCGGCCCAGGCCCTCCTAAGTCTTGGGTTCCAACTCAAACAAATCTTCTATATATTGCCAAGCATGCTGTTTCAAGGTGCGCTGTCTTGCGTCTCCGATGTTGTCCCAACAACATGGCCTGCCGAAGCAATGCTTGCACCAGCTTCTGATTGACAAACCTCACTAAATCAGTGTGAACAATGTCGGCATCAAAAAATGACCCAACCAATGAACAAGTGTGGCTCCCAAAAAACCAAGCGCCGGGCGCTTCAGCAGCAAGGCGTTGCCCTTCTTGTGAGTTTAGGTCAATTAACCTCGAATGACAAACCTTTTCAAACACTCAAAAATTCAGCAATGGTGTGCTTAGTACTTGACTCATCTGGCAAGGCAAACCGCTGGCCTGGCAGAATGCATCCAAGAAAGTTGGAGTGTCTTTAGGGAGAAAGTTAGTTGTTCAACTTCGCAAAACAACTCGTTCCCACCAGCTTGCCTCCAACTGGGGCTGACAAGCGGCGGTGCCTTTCTCAAGACTTCTCCAAATTTGTTACGAGACGAAAAGTAAACGAACAGGCAGCTTCAGTTGTTTCAAAAACACACCGAAAAGGACGCTCCTGGTGGCATCCCGCAAAGATCGAAACAGCCGCACAACATATTCTGGCACTGTTTGTGCACGTGGCATTCTCTATAGACTGCAACATGAAAAGTCCTGTAGGTCATGTAGCAGCAACGAATGTGAGCGCAATGCGAACTTTATTCAATGCTGCTGCTCAGCTTTGTAAAATGCATGTTGACTCCTCCCATCCAAAAACAACTGCAGTCTTGCTAATCAAAGGCAACCAAAGGCTTGTTTTGAGTTGCACACTTGTCAAAGACAAACACGGTTCCCTTTCTGATCGTTTTGTTCCCAGTCTTTTAGAGGGCTGGCTTTCGTTCCTTCCTTTTTCAGGGAATTTCCAACAACATCAAAATCGATTGGCGCATGTTCACTGGTGTGTGCAATCTTGGTCCCGCACCAACAATTGTCGGATTGAAAGAGCCATTATTGACTTGACCAGTGCTGCTGTCAAGCATCACTTGTTTTACTGCGCATTTTCGGTTGGCTTGTTGTTCTGGCGTGTAGTTGTCTGTAGCTTCCAGACCTCAATAAAAGTTGAAACGTAGAGAGTCCGACATCTAGTTTCGCATGTGCCTGCATGAAATTAATGGCAATAAACCAACTGCACCATTTCTGGCCCACACTTTGTGGCGATGAGTTTGCTAACCTTCACAACTCAAGCACAATGAGCACCTGACTAACTAACCGTTGTGTTTTCCTTTGCTGCGCGTTCAGTGGTCGGAACCACAGGTCGCAAGAAAAACAAGAGGTGGAGAAGGTGAGAACAAGAAAGCCCTCAGGGTGAAACAAGGAATTAAGCCACCCTCGTGCTCGGGCAAGGCCCTGAGGTCTGCTCCACGCGTCGCAAACTGAGAGGAAGTGAAGCAAAACATGCAATCGAATGACGACTGGGGTGAGAAGTGAAACAAAAGTGCAACAAGCAAGCAACTACCCTCAGAAAAAGTCTCACTCAGAGAAAGACCTCGTCGATGTAGTGACTCTTTTGTTAGGCAGCGCGCCTTTTTGGACCAAAGCGCTACGATGCGACGAGTGATAAGAACAGATACTACACATCCAAGTGTACATGTTGGTAACCTAGAAAAAGTAAACACGCCGCCTCAAACACAGCCGCTCTAGGCTTTGTTTGCCTTCTATACACATCACCGAGCACCACACTCTTCTAGGTGGCAGAAGGTTAAGTCCGCTCGGCTCGTGTGATACGTACCCTGTATGTACTGTTCCGGCATTTCATGCCATTCCTACAACACTCTTTGCGAATTCTCGTACTGTTGTAACCCTGACATCAACCGTTCAAGTGTCCAACAATCGTTGTCCTCGACATCGGCTGGCTTCTCCTGGTCATCTTTGGACTCTCCTGGATTCGCCGGATCGCTTCTAGCATTCGCAATCGTCCCTGCCTTCGGAGCTGGGCTGTCAGGCTCCACGGCACTCTGCGCTGGCAGGGGTCACGCGTGGCGCAGGCAGCAATTGTTGCAGGTCCAGGGGTCTGGCACATCTGAGAGTCTGGCAGACTGTCCAACAAATCTCATCCCAAGGATGCAGGGAGAAGGAATAATGACCCTGAAAGAGGTCCAAAGGAGGCAGGTTTTGGGGAAACATGCGCTTCGTACTACAGCAAGGTAAAAGAACCACTTGGAGGGGACCCTACGCAGAGAGCAATATGTTTGACTTATGTTCTCGGTTTCAAATGCCCAAGTGGATCAACCTTCTCCGGATGGAGGAGCCCCGGATTTGATGGCATGGGAGGCCAATTGCCCCAGCGCAAAAGGTAGATCTTACCGGCACACACACAGGCCGTATTGGAAGGCATGCATAGGGCGGTGACCTCAGTCACTGTCCCTCTTGTCCCGCGAAATATGCCTGCCTAATAGTGCCTACTAGGGAGACATCCTGCTGGGGCGATAGATCTTAGTAACTTTCACACCCAACCCTGACGGTACTTTTTGATTGTACGGTTGTTTCATATGAGCATTTTCCCTGTTACTGATCACCAAACGACCAATAAACAGGGACTTCTGCAACGAGACATCGGCTCAAGCACGAAAGGTCACGTACTGCGACAATTGCCTGCATCCATACCTCTCATGGCAAGCCAGTACCCCGGCCGAAACTGAAGACAGTGCGACGCTTCAACTTACACTCATCACACTTGCAGCAAAAGAAATTCAACTGCCTGTCAATATTCGTGAGCACGACCGTCTAGATGAGCTGGAAGCAGTGGTGGACTGCCTGCCTACCATCAGCCAGATCGCCACGTTTGGGTATGAGCTTGATTTTGTCCATCCGAGCACTCAGAAGCTTTTAAAGAACCCCATATGGGGTACTCTTCGTTATTGTACACGATTCAATTTGCCAATGCCACAGGCGTCATTCCAGACAATGCCTTCAACTCGGTCCCACGGCTGAGGCATGTCCTAGTAGAGTCTGGCATTCACACAATTGGAGCAGCTGTATGGAAAAAGCTGTCACCAGCTCCAAATTGTCAAAACTACCTGCCACTGTAGTATGCATTAATGAAGGTGCCTTCCAAGGCTGTTATGCATTGACCCAAGTAGTTGCCCTGGGGTGTGTGAACATTGGTCGTCGAGCCTTTGCAGAATGTTGCTCGCTTCAGTACATTGGTACTAATGAAGGAGAGACCAACGAGCTTGTCCCTGGGGTCAATATTTCCTCATATGTCTTCGAAAGCTGCCCAGCACTGTCCCAAGTTGAGGATCAAGTCCGCCACCAGGGCCACCATCCACTCGAGGAATCCAGAAGGAAGCTTCAGCTCATCGGGACTTGAATATCTCAAGCTCCCGTCAGATGTCAACTTCCTAGGACCGCTAGCCTGTGAAAATTGCAAGCGACTTGCTTTCGTCGACCCATCCAGCACGTCGATTGACGCCATTTGGGGTTCTACTTTCTCACATTGCGTGAATCTTGAGCGCATATGGCTTCCAACCAAGTTGCGACACATTCGTAAAGAAGCTTTCATGTTCTGCAACGCCCTCATAGAAGCAGAAATCCCTCCTACTTCAGTACATTGCGCACAGGGCATTCTTTGACTGTGGTCAACTGACTCGTTTCACGCTAATGAGCTAACCAACAACCTGGCGAGGGCCCTATGCTGAAAGCAACTCCTTTGCATTGCGCTCTCGCTTGCAATACCGAAGTGGATCAATCTTCTCCCTCCAGACGGAGAAGACCGCACTGGCTATGACGGGCAGAAACCGCTCTTCTAAGAGCTGGCACTGAACCCACCTGCTCCATTGCCGGCAAGCAGACAGTCACCCCAAAGGCTGTGAATGTTGCGAGAGGAACTTGCGAGCCGCAGAATTGCACACTAACTAGGCCGGATACCAGGCAAGGACCTCTGTCCTTGTCCTGGGTGTGGCCGGCCGTGTAAAAAGTGCACAGTATTTCGGCGCAGTTTCACCTCTGTTTCACTGTAGTTTCGCGGCACTGCATGACTCACTCAACGATGGCCACTTGTGATTGCCTGGCTGCACAAACACAGGTGCTGCTTGATTGGACTGGTTTTTTTGCACGGATGGAGCCGCCATGTGTGCAGAGAATGCACAGGTCAGCTTGCGCTGCATATGAATGAGTCTCCGGCCATGAGAGGACAAAAACAACGCAAACCAAAAAGCAACCAAACCAAAACACACCCCCAAAACGAAAGAACAAATAGCAGTTTACTGAAGTGTAGGTGCGATGTGTACTTCTATGAGGGCGTTGCAGAACATGAAAGCTTCTTTACGATGTTCAAGATACACAATGCGAGAAAGTAGATCCCCAATCAATCGACGTGCTGGACAGGTCGACGAAAGCAAGCCGCTTGCAATTTTCACAAGCTAGTGGCCCCAGGAAGTTGACATATCTGACGGAAGCTTGAGGCATTCAAGTCCCGATGGGCTGAAGCTTCCTTCTGGTGTTGCCTCGAGTAAATGGTGGCCCTGGTGGCGGACTTGCTCCGCTGGCGATTTGGGTAAACTTGACGTGGGACAATGCAAGGCAGCTTTCGAGGCTTGTCAAGATGCCAGGAAGGCATAAATGGCGAGGAGTCTACGCAGAAGAGAATGCTTTCGCCATTTGTCCTGCTATGCGATGGCCACCTTGGCTGCACATGATCCCGGACATGGGGCACACCCCTGGTCTTGGATGAAAACAAGACTTTTTTTCTTGGTTGCAGCGAGGCTGCATCGTAGATACTCGTCAAGAGTCTGGGCACGCGCCTTAGCGTGGGTCCAAGGCAGGTCAACGATCATGACAGGGCAAATTCCAGAAGGGAGCGGAGAAACATCGCAATTGTACCCGCATAGAAAGTTCTACTCAAGAGTATCAGGGCGAGGCTAGAGGCAAGCAAACGACAAACGACAATAAACTGCACATTGCCAAAAACCAGTGTCCCTGAACAAACTGAATAACCCATCTAATCCAGGCAATCTAGGGAATGTCGACTGATGCCAGTTGTCACAGGGAAGAAAAAGGACTAGACCAGACGGAGCCGGTGAACCTGTGACTGGAATGGGGGACAAGCTGACTGACAGCAGAGTGCTACCACCTGGAGGAGGCTGTGCGCCGGCATTGCGAGCCGAGAGTCATCTCGGCTGACTCTCTGTTGGTCTTGGATGCTAGGACTGCCGCCCGCAGAGAAGATGCAGACGGAGCAAAATCAATGTGATGCGATGGTAGGAACGGAGTGTGCTATGCAAACCATGATGCAACTGGAAGATGGTTTTGCCATGCTTCCTGCCAACCGTGTCTGACCTTGATGTTTTTGGCTGCGAGGTTGACCTCATGGATTTTACTGCTCAGCTACCCTTGCCAGCAGCCTTCCACACAGCGCTAAGTGCAATAAAGGAAGCTGCAGATTGTGGTTCGGCCCTGCATGGCGGAGAGCCACTATCTGGCAATTCCAAGAAGGTGATAAAGAGAACTGCCCCAAAGCAGTTCGAGTTTCTGTCAATCCACGCAGAGAAATTGCTGACAGAGCTTTCTATGCAGCACCTATGCTCCGGCATGTGGAAATTGCAGAAGGAATCCAGCACGTTGGATTTGCGGCCTGGCAGGAGTGTCAGCAGCTGCAGATCAAGCTCCCCTCCTCAGTCGTAAGCTCAGAAGATGGAGCTTTCCAAGGCTGCTATGCCCTTGGAAGTGATGGCCCCAGGCTGTGTTCAGTTCAGTCGAAGAGTGTTTTGCGGAGTGCCAGGAGCACGCTGCCTGAAGGTGCATTTTGCCGGGCGGGTCTTGAAACCCCTGCCTCCCAAGCGACTTTCACAACATTGGCCTGCGGGCTTGTGAAAACTGCAAGCGACTAGCAGAAGTCAACCTCATGTGCACAGATATCACGGCCCTTCTCAAATCTACCTTCGCCCAATGCGTGGCCATGACCCATATTTGGCTGCCGCCACGCTTAACGCAAATCGGTAAAGAAGCTTTTCCTCAGCTGCATTGCGCTCAAGAGGTGGTCATTCCGACCGAGCTCCAGGAAATGGCATTCGAGCCTTTTATGGGTGCGAGCAATTAAGATGTTTTGCTCCCTTGACCTGGGGGAGACTGACCGACACACAGGCAGAACACAATGCTTTTTTGCTGTGTGATAATTTTGAGCAACCGTCATGGGTGGAGCTGCTACCCACAGAAGGACCAGATTCAGACGCCTTTCATGAGGAGCTCTATACGGAATTCCCCTGACCTTCAGACAGTTCATCAAGGAACCATGGCGGGTGCCTTAGCACCAGTCCTGGGTAAGCGTCCGTCCCTCGTGCTGCCTTTCTGGCTCGGAGAGTTAGGACCCATGTCGCACCAGCTGTCCGGTGAAGTAAAATTAACCTACTTACACACAGTTGGCAGACATTGGTTCAAATACCGACTTTCGGTCATCCTCCATGGAGCCTGCCAAATCTTCCGGAGCCAGCACCCCCCCTGAAAGAGAGCTGGTGATGGACTGCCGCTGGTGCTAACTACCCT